GTAACACACAACTTATATATAATGATAAACTTACACAGGTAACACACAACTTATATATAATGATAAACTTACACAGGTAACACACAACTTATATATAATGATAAACTAGGAAATAGGGAATGTTTTTGATAGCAAGAGATTTATGCTATAGGGAATAGGGAATGTTTTTGAGAGCAAGAGATTGTATTAGCAGAAACAAAAGTGTGTATCTTCAATATCTTGGTTTAATCAGCAGTTGTTTTGGTGCTGTTGTATCAGTCCGAGTATTGTAGTAATGTAAATGGAGATGGGCTGGGGCCGGGGATGGGCATTTGGGTGGCAGTTTTGAAATACTAACACCCACAGTTCAGAATTTTGTTTTCTGGGGTCCATTACATAAATGTAGACTATCATTTCAGACTCAACGACCCATATATTATACACCACACACACACAACCCATCTCACCATATTCATATCTAGTTTATCCAAAAGTGATTTCACCAGGTGGTTTTTTTCACAACTGTTCTTCGTTAACAAGTACCTGTGTGTCGGACATCAAAGATGTGTAGTTTAAATTAAGGATAAAGATTTAAAGGAATCAAAGGACTGGGATGTGATTCAACATAAAAGATGTACTGCCGTGATCCACATTTTAAGAACCCTGTTAAGCTTACCGGTAACAATAATTTTAATATCACAAAGCTAGTACATGTTAAAATAAATATGTCGAAATCCAAAACTAGTCTATAACAAGATAGAGATATTCCAAATCATCACCTACAGACAAAAAACATGTATAAACTTTCAATTACTTCTCAAATATTAGATTTGAAAATGTGACAAATGCGTAAAGCTAATCAACCTTTGACAAACTTGACCCAGACAGATATAGCTACCTGTACATAGCTGATTAGAATTGGTCTCTTTTGAAGATACAGGTGTATCGTACATAATAACCCTGAAATCAAGAACTCTTACTTAATAGCATGCCAGATAAAGTTTAATAACTGAGCAATAAATTGCTAACATCCTTTTTATTTTGCATGTTGCATGTGGCATCTCATTAAGTTAAAACTTGTAAGACATTTTTTTATGATGACAATTCATGATTAATATGAAATTAAAGTGGAGATAGTTACTATGTGTTTATTTGGTTGCAAGGTATTTTTCCTGAAATCTGTGTCAGTAGAACAAAACGAATCCGTTGAGATAGAGCAATGACATGCTAGGATGTCAATATTTATATCAGTGAGATACGGAAATGACATGCTCGGATGTCAATATTTATATCAGACTTGTAAATTATGTCACATGTTACAACATGTAATATATTTGAAACTCATGTTATTTTCAGGTATTTTACAAAAAGTATTATTTTCATGAATTACTAGGATGTGCATATTTCTATCAGACATGTAAAAATTCTACCACCTGTAACTAATACTGTATATATATATAAATCATGTTTTATTCCAGGTATTTTATAATGAGCGTTATTTTCAGGTTCTACATTCAGTCATTATTACTCAGTTGGCTATACACTGTACATGTGTGTATATTTACCACTAGTATACACACTTTGCTAATCAATTAGATAAAACACTTGCTCAACATAAATCAATAATATAGATATACACTCAGTCATTCTTAGTGAATGAATATACTTATATATATTCAGTCATCTGAAGTCAATTGAATATACATTTATATTCAGTCAGCCTAAGACAATTGAATATATTCAGTCATCTGAAGTCAAATGAATATATCTTTGTTCATTCTTAGTCAAAAGAATATATATTCAGCCATCCTTAGCCAATTGAATATATATTCAGCCATCCTTAGCCAATTGAATATATATTCAGCCATCCTTAGCAAAATGAATATATATTCAGCCATCCTTAGTCAAATGAATATATATTCAGTCATCTGAAGTCAAATGAATATATCTTCGTTCATCCTTAGCCAATTGAATATATATTCAGCCATCCTTAGCCAATTGAATATATATTCAGCCATCCTTAGCCAATTGAATATATATTCAGCCAACCTTAGCCAAATTAATATATATTCAGTTATCCTTAGCCAAATGAATATATATTCAGCCATCCTTAGCCAATTGACTACTAGTAATTAATCAATAAGCTTAAAAAACACACAAGATTTTAGATCAAAATCAAACCGACTTTATACCTATATGTAATGTGTTTGGTAACTCAATTTTTCGTTCTAGAATTCCATGGAATGAGATATGAAAAGTGATTGTCGTAAGTTCTGCAAGGTTTGATTACTGTTCTGAAAGTGGACTTGGTTTTTCTTCATGTACTTTTTCTACTTCGTGAAATGTTGTGAGCTTGTCAGTGTTTGCTGTAGTTCTCTTTGAATTGCTATCATCAAGACTTATTTAACCTTAATGTCATTAAGTAAATTCTTGTATTTTGTCCTTACTCTATGTATATACAAATGTACAGATGTATAGTTATAAAATAGGATTGTGGTTCTACTGATTCGAGGTATTGCCTCTAATGAATTAACATTGTACAGTCAACCCTACTCGATATACCACCACTATAAGCAGCAAGAGACTGCAGCTTCATGGGCTTCCAAATGAATAGTCTCTAAATGTTTGACCACAGGTGCTGCATGGACACACCAATATGTGTCTATACATGTACTATAGTATATAACACATATTGGTGTGTCCAGCACCTGTGGGTTTGACTGTATCCTAGTGCCTATTTTCAGACTTTGTGTTTTGACTTGAACTTTTCAATGTTTTTACTCAACCCTTCCTATACTAGTAAAAGAAACATTTTAACAGCTCTATAACAATGGTGGTGGGTATTAATTTATAAATGGGGAAACAAAGTCAAGAGGGACAGCCTTCATTTGAGAAATTTGTGAAAATATCAGATAATTATACATATTAATTCTGTAATTGTTTAAACAGATACCATGTTTATGTTAGTTTGGGAGGTTGGACTCCTAGAAACTCCTAGACTCTGAACTGAACACTTTGTCTATATACATGTAGCACCGACTTCTATATCTTTGTATCAAGTCTATGTTACATCTCTTTGGTTTACCTCTGTAACGTAGTAATGCCAGACTCGGATCACCAGGAGGTACATATCTGATAACTTTTTAAATAAAAATGTTTTATTAATCTGAAAAAGCAAGCAAAAAAATCTTGACAAACCTTGATTGTACTGCACATACATCCTCAACAACACTATTTACAAGACTTTCCAATGAACAGAAATTATGCACATGCACAAGTTTCTCTTTCAGACTTGTTATTTTTTATCAATCTGTGTTTTATACATATATAAATAAGATGTACTAATATTAAGCCTTGACAGATATAAAAAAAAAAAGGCTGGCATCAGATGCTTCCAAAAACATGTGCAGATGGATTTCATACCAATAGGTGATATGGGGGATGTAAATCATTTAAAAAAATAATAATTATTTGAGGTTCTTATATACTGCTTTATCACAACCTAGTGCGTAGATCGTCTCAAAGCAGTTCACAAATTATTATCCGTGGTTATAGGGCCTTTGAACCCAGCCAATATCTTTCTCAACTCCCTGGGGAGCATACAGTCGGTGCTGCCATTTCAGCGCTCACAGCTAGCATTCTACAATTCTAGCACTGCCCAACCACATACTCATTTAAAGCTGTGTAGACTGGAACAAGCAGAGTTAAGTATCTTGCTCAAAGATACAACACAGTGTAGTGTCGTGACTCGAACCAGCAACCCTAGACTATCACTAGACTACCGTGCTTAAAAGACTAAACTATGACAATTGTTGTGTTTGTGTTAATAAAGTGGAACCTTATGAATGGTAAACATGTATTTGGCTCTCTTTGGGCATCAGATGGGACCAAGTAGGGGAAATGCGGAAAAAATATTTCCAACTTTTTTTTCTAGTTATAGACATGCACTTCTAATAAGAGAATGTTAACCAAAATAAGAGCATTATGATCTCGTAGCTGATTTTGACAAAATGATTGTATTTCTATCATGGCTCATTAATATAACTTAGCAGAATTATAGGTCTGTTCAGCCTTGTGTACTAGTATATGTAATATATTACAAACGACATTATCTATTGTCACTTGTTCTATTGTAGGCTTTTCTTTAGTTATAAGGTGAAGTTGATAAGGCCTAACATATTTAGCCTATGATACTTTTCAAATAAGGAAGATGTCAAAAACCCTGCTAAGCTAGCTTTTAGCTTTTAAATAGGTCATTGCTTGTTCGTAATTTGCAACTGGTGGCCAGGTTCATGCTTCCTGTCGAACGAGCATGTCTTTATATAGTGTTTGCTGTGGTGGTGATGATGATAATGACAGACATTTAGTCCATTATCGCTTCTTAAAACTACTCATTATGTAGCTAGGCAACACATGGTGTAACTGATAGATCCATTATGTAAAAATCTAAATAATGAGTAGATGTAAGGCCATTGCCTGTTGTTAATTGGAAATATTCCCCTGTACCTACAGGTATGCCTTATCATTATGGATAAGTGATTATATTAAATGCTGGGTATATGTATAGATATGTGATTTTATACATATTTACCTGCAGGGTTGTATCTCCAATAAGGAGATTATTCATTGACAAGCAAATCCATTTATTTTTTTCGTTGATGGTAAAGGCCTCTATTTTATTAAAACATTATTACGGTTTTAGCGGAGGATCAGGTTGCTACCTAACGAGAGTACCTTTAATTAAGGAAGAAGTCATGTAACCATGGACATAACAAGGAAGCCATCCAGCTACATAATTGAAGCTCTGTTGTAACATAACCTGCACCTGGAATCCTGTTGTTGAAAGCTTTCATCTAACAAAACTAATTACCTTTAAAACTGTAGAGCAAAGTCTGCTGACTGACTACAATGTGTAACAATGACGAAACTGATCTACCAGCATTGACCATATAGCACTTGTTAAATGTTTTGTAATGGTGGCTTGTCTGTTCAGCTCACCTATTCGTAGAAAAGATGGGGGCTAATGTAGTCACATCGGCATTCGCATTCCTGTTTAGATCACCATTCAAGAGGCTGTTGACTTTTATAAGGCTGAGGCATTTATAAGGAGTCTAAACAATGTGCTGAAAACTTTTTTCATCCTGGCCTTGGGAGGGGCGAAAATGTTAACACTTGGGTTATTGAATATTCTCGACAAGTGGGAAATGTAGGCTCGCCAATGTAGTGGTATTATAAAATATATATAAGAAAAGCATGCCGTATGTTGAATCCATGGGATGATAACAAAACATTTGCTTGTTCATCAATAGGATCAGTACTGTAGTTGTTGTTTTAACATTTGCGTGAACAGATTTTAATATCCCCTTATATTTTCATGGTATTCATCTCTTCATTCAATCATATTTTTAATTTTTGCACGGTAATCAAGTTCCAAACTCAAATTTAATACATGGCTCAGTTTGAATTGCTTTTCAGACTTGAAAGTTGAAGTCACTGTTACTACATCATTATGTACAAATACAAATCCTTGGGTGGGCTTAACTTAAAATAACACCCGATTCAGAGTATAGGGTCAATTAAGGTAAAATTTAAACTTTTACTTAACAAATGAATTTGTCGATGCAATACCTGACTACCTCATTCATACAAGGAAAATTCAAGCAATCATACTCTTAAAACCATACTTAATCAGTTTTCCTATAACAAATACTACTGTATGACCAACACACACCTACAACCAACACCAACATCCAAAACCAACACACCTACAACTGACAACCCTTAAACACACCCGCCCACAACCAACACACCTACAACTGACAACCCTTAAACACACATGCTCACATCCAACAAACCTACCACTGACAACCCTAAAACACACCTACAACTGACAACCCTCAGGATGGGAGATCACTCTGTCTTTAAGATATGAGGCATGTGATGGTAGGGAGGGCAGGATATTTAATTTGTTTTTGGGCTACAAAGATGGGTGTAGGTATTGTTTATGCAATCTAAAGTTATGGTAAGAATTACATCACGAAAATTGGTTTTACATTAAAAACCTCCAAAACAGAACCAACACACCTACAACCGACAAACTTAAAACACAAATGCCAACAACCAACACACCTAAAACAGACAACCCAAAAACACACGCTCAGAACAAACACACTTACAACAGACAACCCTAAAACACACACAATCAGAACCAACACTCCTACAACCGACAACCTTAAAACACATACAATCAGAACCAACACTCCTACAACCGACAACCCTAAAACACATACAATAAGAACCAACACTCCTACAACCGACAAACTTAAAACACAAAGGCCAACAACCAACACACCTACAACTGAAAACCCTTAATTACACCCACCAACAACCAACACACCTACAACTGACAACCCTTAAACACACCCGCCCACAACCAACACATCTACAACTGACAACCCTTAAACACACAAGCCCACAACCAACACACCTACAACTGACAACCCTTAACCACACCCACCCAAAACCAACATATCTACAACTGACAACCCTTAAACACACCCGCCCAAAACCAACATACGTTAAACACACCCGCCCACAACCAACACACCTACAACTGACAACCCTTAATTACACCCGCCCACAACCAACATATCTACAACTGACAGCCCTTAAACACACAAGCCCACAACCAACACACCTACAACTGAAAACCCTTAATTACACCCACCAACAACCAACACACCTACAACTGACAACCCTAAAACACACAAGCCAACAACCAACACACCTACAACTGAAAACCCTTAATTACACCCACCAACAACCAACACACCTACAACTGACAACCCTTAAACACACAAACCCACAATCAACACAACTACAACTGACAACCCTTAAACACACCTGCCCACATCCAACACACCTACAACTGACAACCCTTAAACACACCCACCCACAATCAACCCACCTACAACTGACAACCCTTAAACACACAAGCCCACAAACAACACACCTACAACTGACAACGCTTAGACACAAAAGCCCACAACCAACATATCTACAACTGACAACCCTTAAACACACATTTAACCCACAACCAACACACCTACAACTGACAATCCTTAAACTCACCCACCCAAAACCAACATATCTACAACTGACAACCTTTAAACACACCCGCCCACAACCAACATATCTACAACTGACAACCCTTAAACACACCCACCCACAATCAACACACCTACAACTGACAACCCTTAAACACAC